TTATTTTTTTTTTATGAATTTTGTTTTTATTTAAAATTATTGTAACCTCAGAATTTCAATGATGCATTAATTGTATTTTTTGCGGTAATTTCGCCATTTGTCTCTCTTAATTAAATAAAGGGTAAATATCACTTATCTCCCCTATAGTTTGAATTTTGTGCATATAACCACTTTTATTTAATATAAGTACATAATCCTTTTGTAGTTTTAAAAACTTTTTCTTCCTAACGAGCATGATTATTTATCAAGTGAAATAATATAGGAGCGTTATGTGCTTATATTAGAAGTACAAGGGGTCATATGCACAAAATTCAAACTACGGAGGATCATATGATTATATTAAAAGTACAGAGGATCATGTGTACAAAGCTTAAACTACAGGAGTTAAGTACTATTTACTCTTAAATAAAAGATACTCAGCTGAGAAACAACTAATGATAATGGTATTTTAGTAATTCTCCATTTCATTTTTCTTTTGTTATAATACATGTATGTTTATTATTTAATTGAGAAATATTTAGGCAGGAAGGTTAATAATAAACATACATGGATTATAATAAAATAAAAAATAAAATAATCATTTTGGATTAGTTTGGAATTATATGACGTTGGTAAAGCTAGCTGTCTCCTAGTCACTATGTTTTTTGTAATTAAAAAGACAGATAAGATTTAATTGTAATTAATTACCTTAAACTAGGTCCTGATTAGTTTGAAACCATCATAGAATTTGGTCTTATTTAAATTAATTATACCCAAGTTGTGAGCATTACAATGAGGATGTTGTGTACTTGCATTATTTTATTATATTATTTTTTTAAAGTTTAGGGAGAAAGATTCCCCCTATATGCATGGTCGCATATTCCCAATTTTCGAATTGAATAATTGAGCATGCTTTCTCCAACCAAAATAAATAGTGCCAACAAATAATAGAATAAAATAATTCCAAGTTGCATTGGTGTAGGGCAACGGTAGACTTGATCACGGTTCGGTTCCGAATCGAAACCGACGCTGAATTGACCAGGGTCAATGGTCCTAAAACCATAATCAAATCGGGTCAACTCAAATTGAAATTGGGTAGTAAGTTTCAGTTCAGGTTTATAAACATGTTGAACCTGAACTGCAGTTAATCGGATAGTAAGGTTCAGTTCAGGTTTATAAACATGTTGAACCTGAATCGCAGTTAATCGACGGTTTAATGTGAGACAAAAAAAAATGTTAATCAACCACCAAAATTAGTTTAATGTGACAAAATTAGTCATGACACTTCAAAGTCACCAAATCTATGACTTTACATGTTAATTTCACCAACTCATCAATTTTGATAATAGATTCCATTTTGATTCCAACTTTGGCCGCTGCAACTGTTGATCGCTGGTCAGCTACCGGTCAACGACATACAATTGTTATTATTATTCAATACAGTTTATAGAAAAATATTAAAATTTTCAATAGATCGTATCAAAATTCATTCGAAAAAAGAAAAAAAACTATTGAACATGATAGCAATAGGTCAACAATATTATGAGTCGTCACTCCACTTATAACAATAATAACAAGTGATCACCATATAAAAAATGACTACTCGGTGGAAAAGACATCTTTATTTGGGCAATGTATCTATATCACAATGCATATATATAGTTTTCAATTTCATTATATCTTTAATGGGTTTTTTATTTATTTATTTAATTAATTTTTGTTTGTATATTTCCACTCATGAGGGGTCAATAGACAAACATGTCACTTTTGTATATGTGGACTAAAATAGACATCCACATTGACATTGATGGTTGCTTCATTATTTAAACCATGTTGTATAGGCATATAGGTATGAATGTGTAATAAACAAATATAGTGATTTTTAAATCCTAAATATTGGGCAACTTTCTTGGCACCAATCAAAATGAGTCAACCAACAAGTATAAAAGCAAATACCTCATTAATTAATTTTTATTTATCATTAATGAGCTAATTATTTGTTCACAAAAAAATACGGCAAATCACAACCACCCCTGAAGGTATGACCAATTTATGAAAAAATCTCTCTTGTTTGGATAATTACATCTACCCCTCAACTATAATTTTTTCTTACACCTCCACCCTTATGGTGTCAAATTCAACATAATCATCTAGATTTCGCGGAATGTGCTCTAATTGTACTCGTTTAGTGTAAAAATACAGATTATGATGCACCACAATCAGATACATACAAGCAACAAACACGTTATGATCATCTTGCTTCAAAATGTGGAGTTCGGATGGGATAAAACGAGTACGAATGTGATAATATTCCTTATAATCAAGAAGATTCCACTAAATTTGAAACCGCAAGGGTGCACGTGTAAGAAAATTTATAGTTGAAGAAGGTTATTGTAATTACCCAAACATAAGGGGGGGTTTTCGTAATTTTACCATAACTCATGGGTGGTTATAATTTAACAAAAAAAATAAAAAATTATCTACTACAAGAGTCTCCCTAGATCGGATGTTACACAAACATTTAATAATTAAGGTCCCACATTAGTAGGAACGAGTATGAATTATTTGGATAGTAGTAGATAGGACTTTGGGTTATTTTTAAATAAAAAGGCAAAAGGCTAAAAATTGCGCGAATTTGAGTTTGGAACATCTGTCACGGATCGAGACTTTTCATTCAACTATACGTGGCCCATGCAGTACCTCTCGGCAGAGAGGTTAGCCTGATCCCTCAAGCATGAAACTCCCCAATTTGCATTTTTTTCGAACTTCTAATTGCTGAAACCTAATCGTAAACCTACATTTGGTAACTAAAATGCAAATAAATTGATTGAAACAAACTAAATTAGTAAAAATCGGGAGTCGTAAGTAGGGGTGGCAATTTGGATCCGGTTCCATTGATCCGATTAGATCCGGTTCGGTCCATAAAGATATAGTTTAGATTAAATCTAGTTGAAACAAACTGGATCGGATCAACGTTGAGTTTTTTTTTTTAAAATTGGATCCATGTGGATCCACTTTAGATCCATTGAATTGAATGTTCAACTAAAAATGAAGTGGGTCTTATTGAATCCAACCAAAACCAAATTAAATACTAAAATATTTTTTTTAAAAAAAAGTCAAATATTATATTAATTGTGAATTTAAAAGATCAAACATTATATATATATATATATATATATATATATATATATATATATATATATATATATATATATATATATATATATATATATATATATATATATATATATATATATATATATATATATATATATATATATATATATATATATATATATATATATATATATATATATATATATATATATATATATATATATATATGTGTGTATATATATATATATATATTTATATATATATATATATATATATATATATATATATATAGATATATATATATATATATATATATAAGTGTATGTATGTGTATATA